CTACTTTTCCTCCCTCTCCTTAAGTCCTCAGAATCTAGTATTCAGTCTCAGCTCACAGGACTCAACATCTCATACCTGGTGCTTCTTTCTGAAGTCCATCAAGTACTTTAGGAGGAATAATTTCTCGTTCCCATCCCTTCTGTCAAAGTCCTTCCTTCTCACCACTTCCCTGTCTATGACAGGGACCAAATACCCAGGAGGCTTTGTCCAGCCTCACTCTACAGACTGGGATGCTGAGACAAGGAGAAAGCTCAGGGCTGGTCCATGGTCAGGAAAACTATTAGCAACCATGGCAGGCAAAGACCAGACATGTCCCTAAAGCTGAGTGAGGACTGAAGAGGTGGGTCTAGAAGGATGTTTTCCTCTCAGTGCCTGGCTACTTCTATAGCTACTGTCAGTTTGATCTCAAATATACACTGCCCTATTTCCTAGACTGCCCAGGATATTTCAACTGTATCCCATAGGATTCCTCATGGTATTATGAGTCCTGAACTCTACCCACTATTTTGAATCTTTATGTCCCTGCCTTTTCCTATTTTTTCCCCCTCTCTCTCTCTCCACTTGGTTGATAGCATGTGGGGAACAGGGAATGACGTCTTTGAGACACTTATGTGTCACTTGCCTTTAATTACTCCACAGATTCCCACAGGCCTGCCCAGGAAGCCCTTGTGACAGTTTTATGTCAGCCTGCCCAAAGTGAAAAGCTGGGGGGGGGGGGCAAAAACAGGCAAAAAGAGTGGGCTGCTGGGAGTTGAAGGGGAAAGGGACAGGTAAGTGGCTAGCTTGAGGCTCTTATCAAAGGAACAGATATGAGGGGAGAAAAATTCAAATGAAGCTGAGACTATTCAGGTAGGAGATGAATTCAACCAAGACAACAGGGTCAAAAAGAGGTACTTCCAAATGGCCTGAAATACCCTTCTCTGCTGCAGTCTCTTCATCACAGATGCTGCAGTAAACAGGCTCTGAAGAAGGAGAGAAAAAGCACATCCCTTCACCCAGCACGAAGACACCTTCTTTCCTCAGCAGTCACTTTTGTGGCTTTGCCCGATCTCCATTAAGAACCAGAAACCGACATCATACTACCTGCCTTGTCCTTAGGTGGTACTTAACCTTTCCAGGCCTCAGATTCCTCATCTGTAAAGTGAAGGGTTGGAACAGATTAAGTTCCTTCTGGTTCTAAATTTCTAGGATTCTATTACTCTAAGCATAGAGGTGTCCTGACCTCTTTTGACCTCTTACTAGGCAAAGAGGGAGACCATGTTGTCTTCAAGAGAACCTGAAGCTCATTCCAGCTTCCCTTATTGTACAAAGACCCTAAAATTGAGGAAGGATTCCAAGTAGCTTTGGTTTGGTTTCTTTTCCCTCTCACCTTGAAAGTCAAACATCTTGGGAAGGCATATTTAAGGGCCAAAGTTCAGAAAGGAAGCAGTATAGTACATTGGCCCTGCTGTGCTCAGTCCCCCCAGGTATCCTGCAGACAAACGTATACACATACATATGCATGTGTACACATATATGTATGTATGTAATGTGTGTGTACACATACATAAACAGAGAAGCATCTCAGCACCCTGTATATACATACACATATATGTGTACATGTATGTGTGTATACAGGGAGTTGAGATACTCATCTGTGCTATAACTTCGAGGTTACAGGGTTAGGAGGCTGGGGAGAAAAGCAGCCTACCCGGCTCACCTGGCCTCCCGAACACTGGGGGAAGTCTAGATGGCTCAGACGCTATCCTTTGATGCCTACTCAGCACCTCCATGCAACCCAAAAAAATGAGGAGAGGAGTGTGTGTTTGCATACCTCTGTGTGCATGCATGTGTGTATGTATGTATTGCATATAGATACACACACACTAGGGTTTATGCATACATAGATGCATGTTTATATTTATATACATATACTCCTGCCCTCACTTACCCAGCTTCCCAGGGTATAGATGTACAGAGTGACAGCAAAAGGCAAATGGAGTCACTGTGCCAACCAGATGTCCTTTCCTCCCCCCTCCCCCCATGTTCAGGTCTCTAAATGAGCTGAAGAGGTTGCTTCTCTCCCCCGGCCCCCATTTCCCACAGCTAGAGGACCTGAGCACAGATGGCATGCATTTCAGCCTTCTTTATAGTTGTGCCTGAAAGAAATCATTCGGAGGGACAGAAATAATATTTCATAAACAAATATAAGTGCCCTTTTCTCTGGCATGAAGGGAGGGGGACAGGCAAGAAGGGCAAAGGATGACATTGGGCCTGTTTCCTGAAGACATTGGGGAATGGGGGGAGACACCTGGGAGGAGGCAGGTGGAGCCAGGAAGGAAGGAAGGGGCCTGGGAAATGTGCAGGGCCAAAAGCAAGAGATACAGAGATTTCCTATCTTGCCACCCAAACTTAAGTAGGAGGAATGGTCTCTTCTCCAGAAGCTGTGATTAAAAGGAAGACGGTTTAGCCTTTGCATTAAAAGTTATTTTTTTTAAATTGCTTTTGCCTCCCCCTCCAAAGCCAGGCCTCAGTCTTCCTCATCAGTAAAGCGATTTGAATTCAAAAGTCTCTTCCAGCTTCTGAATCATATGAACTTGTGCTCTCCTTTACTGTTGTCCTTGTAAACTCTGTACCCAGCACTGTGCCTGGCACACAGTAGGCTCTTAATAAATCTTCCTTGAATTAATTTTCAGCCTTGACCCTGCTGGAAGCTGAAAGCAACCTTGTGGTGGGAACTTCAACTACGAAGCAGCGGAGAGGGGAGGAAGACACAGTTCTCCCCCCACGCCTACCTGCTAGACTTCCTGTTACTATGGTGACAGGTCTCCTCCCTCCCACTGACTTGGGGCTGGCTAGAGGTAGAGCCTCACGTCCTCCTGCCAGTCCTGCCGCAGGCACGCTTTAAGAGAGCCTAACAGGGAATGGGGCCCCAAGTCCCCCCACCTATCGGACGAGGTCCTCCTTTCCCCTACTGTCGTCACTTGGGGACGCCCCAATGGGTCAGGCAGACAGCAAAGGAGGAAAGTGAGGGGGGTCACTGGCCCCTAGAATTGATCGCTAGGCTCGTCTGCAATAAAGAGATGGCCCCGGGCGTCCGGCCCATTATGCAGATCAACCTGCAATTTCCTCTAACAAAGCGGTGTCCCCGCCTTCCTCTAGTCTCTGCGGAGGAGATGGGACGCGAGGGGGTGTCGGTAGGATTAATCCGATCTACGGGGCCTATCATGGTGGCCGCTATTCCTGCTGTCCCCCTGTTCCTCTAGCTGGACCCCTCGGTGTCCCGTTCTGCCTGGGGCCTCCGCACTCTCGACCTTACTCCCCCTCGCCCCGCCCCCACAAGTCCCAACTCAGCCCTGGGTCTTCACGCGAGACCCAGGAAGCCCTGGTCTCTGGACTTTTGCCCCTGGGAAGGGGACCTCGGGTCAGACGCCGGGTGAGACACCCAGGCGAGGAAAACTAGTAGTGAGACTCGGGAAATCTCCTGAGCTTCTGTGTGAAATCGAGCCGCGACAGTGACGAGGTCGGGGACTTGGATGGGGCCCCACATTGAATCCGAGGCCACCGAGACTGAGGGGAAGTTGGGCACGTGAGGAGCCTCCTGACTTCCCGCCAGGAGCCCCAGGAGCCCTCTTCTAATACCCACGCAGTGCACTTGAGGCCCCAACCACGGATTTCGTTTTTTTGCTCGGGCCATCCGGGGTCCCCGTATCTCCGCCCCCCCCCGAGGTACCACGCCTCCCAAGCTATGGGGTTCCCCTGTTCCCCTAGACACCAGGCTCCGCCGCCCTCGGGTACTGATCAAACCCCATTACATCCCATTAAGAACAATTCGCTTCCCCGTTTTCATTTCCCTTTATAACCCTGGACTAAGTAAATGCGTCTGGACCTGATTGAATTGTTAGCGCCTTTGGTCCCGCTCCAACGCCAGGGAGCGTCTTCAAACTCACTGCGCGGGCTGCGGCCGAAACTCTGGACGGAATTCATCCCACGCGGGTCCTGGCGCACTGATTGCGAAGCGCAGCGCACCTCAGGAACAGTCTTTCTCTCTCTCCCTCTCTCTCTCTCTCTCTCTTCACAGTCCTCTTCCCTACTTACTCGCTCTCTTTCCTCCACAGTTCTTCTCGGCAGGGAAAGCGAGCCTAGGACCAGTCTGAGCCTGGGCGAAACGTCGTGCGTGGGGACCAGGCCAGTGGGTTCAGCGGGATGGGAGCAGTAGGTTGTAGAAGTGTCCTAGGGCTGCGCGCAGACTGAGTGTTCCAGCATGCCTCCGCAAAAGAAATAAAGGTTTTTGCCGCGCTCCCAGACTTGTCCGTAGGTCTAGCTGCCCGGCCCGGGATCCGCGGGAACAGCGTAGTATCTGTAGAACCTGGGGGGGCCCTGCGCACCTGGTGTTCCCTTCACCTCCGGAAGGAATAGACTCCTGACTTGTGAGAATCCAAATTCTGTAGGGTTGCTTTTGAGGGGTTCTGTTGTTTTTGTTTTTACAGGTTGGTTTGTTGCTTTTTGCACAAACGGATAAAAATGGAAAACTGGAGAAAAAATAGAAGATATTAAGAAATCTGGCCTGAAGCTGAAAACATTTGTGGCCCCGGGCTCGAGATGGAACAGGGAGCCCCTCCTAATTGATGCTTCGTTAGATTTCGAGTTTCGGAGGCTGAGACTCGAGCGCTAATATCCGCCGCCCATTATCCCGGCTAATAAATTTGACCTATTGTTCGTTTGTTAAAATGATGTCACCTTGGAACAGTCCCTAAGCTCCTATTTCCATGAATTAGCCCTTTATTGAAACCCAGGAGCCAATGAGAAGAGAGAGGCTTGTTGCTCACAGCCAATGGCAGTGGCGTGAGAGAAATTAGCAGCGGAAACTCCAGGTTCGGTTCAAGAAAGATGACACAGAGCCTGTCGGGCCCGCGCACTCTTGGCAAAGTTTCAGTGCGAGGAGAGGCGCCGGGCCCTTCATGGCTGCGCCGTAACGGGGACCCAGCCGCCTCCCCGCCCAGCCCAGCCCAGCCCGCCCGCCCGCCCAGGATGGAGGCGCCCGCCAGCGCGCAGACCCCACATCCTCACGAGCCCATCAGCTTCGGCATAGACCAGATTCTCAACAGCCCGGACCAGGACAGCGCTCCCGCCCCCAGGGGCCCCGACGGCGCCAGCTACCTGGGGGGACCTGGGAGTCGGCCGGGAGCCACGTACCCATCCCTGCCGGCCTCCTTCGCCGGCCTTGGCGCGCCCTTTGAGGACGCGGGATCTTACAGTGTCAACCTCAGCCTGGCACCCGCCGGGGTGATACGAGTTCCGGCGCACAGGCCGCTCCCGGGGGCCGTGCCGCCGCCGCTGCCCAGTGCGCTGCCCGCCATGCCTGCGGTGCCTGCCGTGCCAAGCCTGGGCGGACTCAACTTTCCCTGGATGGAAAGCAGCCGTCGCTTTGTGAAAGATCGCTTCACAGGTGAGCCATCAAACGAGCTCCGCGGCTCGCCGCCGCACCCCATCGTTCCCGGGGCCCTTCCACTGCTTCGCTGCCCAGCCCAAGTGATGGGTGTGTTCCCAAGGTCAGGGCCTCAGTGTTTCTTGCCTTTCGTTCCCCCCAAACCACCCACTTCGCAGCTCGCCAGCCGAGGTTGCTTCCCCGGGAAAAATCCCGGAATAACGAGAATTGGAGAGGCCTCCAAGCCCTGAGCCCCTAGAGACCCCCGCGGCATCGGGGTGGGGTGGGGGATCGGGGCTTCTGGAGGGCTTGGCGGGAGCGGGGTTGCAGGAGGTGGTGGAGAGGAGTGTTGTCTCTGGCCCTAGTTGGGCCCCAGAGCTGTGGGAACAAACGAAACCAAATGAAATAACTAAGTGGTTTGCATCTGGAGGGGAGCATGAGTCTGGGCCTGGCCAGGAGTCCCAGGGAGTCCCCCTACTCCTGTCCCCGATCAAAGTAAGCCCAACCAGCGAAAGGTGGCATTAGCCGGGGCTCCAACAAGTCCCATCTATCTCCATAGCAGCGGCCGCGCTCACTCCCTTCACGGTAACTCGGAGAATCGGACACCCCTATCAGAACCGGACGCCCCCGAAAAGGAAGAAGCCACGCACATCTTTCTCACGGGTGCAGATCTGCGAGCTAGAAAAACGTTTCCATCGCCAGAAGTACCTGGCCTCTGCCGAGAGGGCGGCGCTCGCCAAGTCCCTCAAGATGACCGACGCGCAGGTCAAGACCTGGTTCCAAAACAGGAGGACCAAGTGGCGGTGAGAGAAGCCAGCCCGGCCTGGTGCCGGTCCTACATTCTGGCCTTATTCAGTCCTCCAACCCGCCTGCCCTTCGTCTCCCTCCTCTCAGTCTCTCTGCCTCTTTATCTCCCCCTGCCCATTTCCACCTCTTTATGTTGGTCCGACAGCGGCAAGCTTTTGCTCCCTATCACCTTGCACAGCCTTTATTATTACTCTTTCTTCTTCCTACCTTTCCTCCCTTCTTATTCCCCCTCTTAATCATTCTGCATTTCTTAGTTCCTCTCCTCTCCAAATGTTCCTTCCCACGTCTTTCCTTCTCTCCACCTCGGTCCATCTCTACGATTCCCGCTTTCATTTTTGTCGTTGTTTTTCCTTGTTGTAGTTCATTTTCTGATTCCTTATCTCCTCTTTCTTCTCCTCCATACTTCTCTTTTTCTATCTGTTCCCCTATTTTTCTAGTCTTCCCTCTGTGCTCTTCTCATTTTTGGTGAGCTTTTTGTTTTTGTTTTCGTTGTCTTTTAACTCTCTCTCTCTCTCTCTCTCTCTCTCTCTCTCTCTCTCTCTCTCTCTCTCTCTCTCTCTCTCTCTCTCTCTCCTTTTCCCTAGTATCCCCTCCAGCCTCCTCGACCCACCTCTGTCCTCTTCTACCCTTCTCCCAAAACATTTTACCAGCGTGGGTTGAGAGGGGTCTCCGATTTAGGTGGAAAGGGCTTCAGGGAAGTGGATTGAGATATAAATCAGTAACAGGAGAGGTTTCTGAGAGGCACTGAGGGAGGATATCTCACTCAAAATATGAGTACTGTTTCTAACCAACAAACCATTTTCTAGTCGCTACTGTTACTGAATCGAAACTCTTTGTTATCTAAATAACAATAACGAGGTAACGCAACCTGGCGGAAAATCCTCCCTCGGAGAAAGCAAAATCATCGAAAAACCTACGGACAAAACCAGAAAGAGGGAAGCAGAAGTTGGGGGGAGGGGGTAGAGACTTCCCGGTGGGGTTAGGGAGGCCCAGATGGGCGGAATCAGTTTTTCTGGGACGGGTTTCTGCAGCTTCTTTCCGATATTTCTTCCTGGGGCCAGGCAGGTTCTTCTATCCGACCCCACCTCCTGTCCCCTTCTAGTTCAGCCCCGCCTTCCTCCTTAATCTCGTACCCACAGAGGCCACTAGGTCCTTCTCCAAAGGATCTTGGGTCTGATCTCCGGTCCCTACTTCTTGGCCATAACCGGCCCTGGAGAAAATTTTAAAATCGTGACCTCGGGGTTAAGGGAAAGAAGACTCCTGGGTGAGAAAGAGAGGGCTGAGGGGTGGGGGCTGCGGAAGAGCATTGGGTTTCTCCTCGGGCCAAGGCCACGGAAAGGGAGTAAGTCGTTGCGGGTGTGTCCACCCCTTTCCCCTACCCTGTGCAGGCGGCAGACGGCCGAGGAGAGAGAGGCCGAGAGGCAGCAGGCGAGCCGGCTGATGCTGCAACTCCAGCATGACGCCTTCCAAAAGAGCCTCAATGACTCCATCCAGCCGGACCCGCTCTGTCTGCACAACTCGTCTCTGTTTGCGCTGCAGAACCTGCAGCCCTGGGAAGAGGAAGGCACCAAGGTTCCTGCGGTCACCTCGCTGGTCTGAGCCGCGGCCGGACCGCCACACCCCGAGAGAGCTTCGGGCCCGGGCCCGAGCCTCGGTCTCCCAGCGGGGCTGGGCCGGGCCGGGTCGGACCAGGGTGGGGGGGGGAGAGCGGGCAGGGGACGGATAAGGGGCACGGGCTGCCGCCCTCCCAAAGAGGCCGGCAAGCCGCAGGGCAGCTGGGACCGCGCCACCCGCCCCGGCCCGCTCCGTCCGCGGCCGCGCTCGCCCCGCAGGGCCCGGGGCTAGCGAGGGCTCCGCGCAGCAGCACAATCCGGGCCTTCCTTCCCTTCCCTCTGCAGGCTCCTCGCCCTTGCCCATGCCCCAGGCCCGACAAAGCGCCTTAGGTTTCACCTGCCCCGCTCCCCCTCCGGGCGGGGCGCCTGTATAATACTTTGTACTTTCGCCCAAACGTGTAAATAAAAGTTTTCTTTAGGAATCGGCGCCCCGCGTCTGCTTCCCTCGGGAGGCGGGAAGAGCTGGGGGTGGGGGTAAGTCCGATTCTGGGGAGAATGGGGGGGTCAAGGCAACGCCAGATTTGGGGAGATAAAAGGGGCAGAGCCCTTCGCTTTTGTTCCGTTATTTTATTGAATTTTCGTCCATTTTATTTAATTAATTTTATTTAATAAAATTTAGCTATTTAATTTTACTTCACTTTATTTCATTTCGTTTCCTTTTCTTTTGTTGTTCATTTTTCCATAGTTTTGCTCCCCTCCTGGCTCGGGACCTGGGGTGGGGGGAGCAGCGGTGAAGGCAGAGGGACCCAGCTGCCCAAGGGCTCTTCGGCCAGTTTCTTACATTTCAGCCTCCTCGGGGACTAGAACTTTCGGTTTTGAGCTCGGACCCCGGGAGGACTCGGGGATGGACATGAGCTCTCTTCTGGAGCCGCCACCGCAGCCCTCCCGGAGGATCGTGCCCCAGGTCAGTGAGTGCCCAGTGCCACCACCTTCCTCCCTCACTCGAGCTCAGGCTCGGATGGGGCCAGAGGCTGGAGAGTCTCTGGTGTCCTCAGAGGCTACTATAAAGAAAAAAGAGACCCAGGAGAAAATTTGGGAAAGAGACTCTGCGCTATATAGATACTGCAGGAACTTGCAGGCAGGGCTGGACACTGAAGCGGACACCAAGGCATAAGGACGAGCACTGGGGAGGGAGGGGATGGTGTAGGAAGATTATTTTCTAGGTCTAGGCAGATGCTGCTCTCCACTGTGGACTCCAGGCCGAAAGGCAAGAAATTGGTAGTGGGATCGGGGTGTCCTAGAAAGAAGCAGCTTTGCCCATAGGGGTCTGCACTCTGGCTCCGATGTAACCAGGACTTAAGAGTGAGTGACATCTCTGGATCTGTTCTTCGGAGTAATTTCCCAATACGACAATCACTGGTTATCAAGTCTTGGGTACGCCTTGGAAAGTCGGGGTGGGACCGCTGAATTGGATGATTGAGAAGAAGTGAGAGTACTGACGGAAAATGCTTGTGTAAATGTTGGTTTAAATGACCAATTTGATCAGTTCTCGGTGTTAAGGCCCAGCGCAGCGACTCTGTCTCGGATTAGGAGCAGCGAGAATCCTCTACCTAAACCTCACAAACCCTCTTGTGCCGCCTATCCCCAAAACGTGACTAAGTCTGGGGAAGCGTGGAGAGGGCTCAGGCTGTGGTGAGAGAGGGGATTAAATTGTCTAGTGTCTTTTCACCTTTACCAGTCTTGGCCTGGGAATGGTCAGTATCTCTTGCCTTTGTCCTCCTTGCTTCCAGGAGCAGACTGGAGATGGCAGGAGAAAGCATTCTCTCTTTTCTCAATCCTTCCCTTTCCCTTTATTCTTCCCCTCCGTATGGCCGCTTTAGGGAGAATCAGGCCGCAGTCACTGATTAACAAACAGAAAAGTAGCAGTTGCGCCCCCCAGGATCTCAAAGCGGTCAATTTTCGGCAGGATCTTCGAATGTGGATGGATGTTAAATGTATGGTTGCGTTCCCAAAGTCTCAAACACTCCGGACCCGTAAGGAGGGCAGAGCAGAAGCGTGGAGAATCCACAAACCCTCCAGAATTATGTCTTCTTGCACTTGGAGCTGGTCGCCGAACGTCACAGCCTCTCCAGAAGAACCTTCGCTAAACAGGTGGGGGATATATGCCAGGCTTCCGGAAAGGTCGCTCTAGTCCCCATAACTTAGAGAGGTTTTTGGCTGGTTTGTTGGTTGGTTTGTTTCCCCTGAGAACACAGAAGGTCACGTCAGTCTTTCAGGAGCCGGATGAAGCAGACTTAGCCTCGGCTTACTAGCTATTGCTATTTTATGTAGGATAGTTTCCGATGATTCACAGCAGGGTACTGTGTCGGAGGCCTCAGGGGCCCCCTTCCTCTTACTTGTTCCCTCTTTCACTTTTGTTCCCTTTTCCCCCTCCCTTCTGTTCTCTTTCCTTTTCCTCCTCTCCCTGAGACCTTTCTTATTTTTTTCTCCCTTTTTTTTCTGGGCTCTCAGCGCTACTGCCCCTTAAAAGATCTCTCCTGAAGACTCTGGTCGGAGGTCAGCCCCCTTCTTGGCCCTCTGGTGGTGCCTCCCTCCTTCTCAACCCTTCTCTTGAAAACCAGCTCCCCATTTCCCGAGTACTCCGCGTCTGGCTTCGATCTCGTATTCTTCCGGTACTTGGCTTTCGTTAGACCGGGGAAATTGGTTCGGCCTTCCTTCCACATTTACACTCTGGGCCAGTCCGGGGCGTGTCACTCTGAGCATCCGAGACCTGATTGAACGAAGGGGCTTCCTCCTTTTCCCACTGGCACACTCTCTTGCAGGCCGAGCATCAGAAATCAGCAACAACGGCGCTTGATGCCAAAGAACTCCAATCCTAAAGCACTAGAGGATAACACCCGACCGGGAGCTAGCAAGTTGCTCCACCGTCAGCCAGTCTCCACGGACATTCTTGATCTCCGATTAAAGTCACGATTAAAAAACAAAAACAAAAACATCACACTCTAGATTGAAAACGACAGAAAGGTCTACGAGCTTTGTCATTAACATCTCAAAACGAGGGCTTTCCCCTTGCCCGCCCCACTTCCCTAAAAAATTCCAAGGCTTCACCTTTCTTCTGCCTCTGACTGAGAACGAAGGCAATTGAGGCCCAGATCGCTGGAGCAGGTGGTCTTATTCAGACTGTATTTGGGGTCCAGTTGAATTGAGTGTGGGGAGGGTGGGTTTGAAGGCTTCGTATTTTATCCGTCGTTTTTCTTGAGATTGATTTGTTTCTTCCCGTTTTCTCTGTGAGCTGGGATTCATTCCACTTACTTGCTTCCCCTTTATTAACAACCATTTTGGCTGTTTCTGAAATCTTCGGGGAACGAAATCAAGCTAATGCGAAGTGGGGCCGCTCTATCTCAGGGTCAGTTCGGAGGCCTGCTCAAGGCTGGAGTTCCTAGAAATCACCTGCTTCTTCTAGGAGCCGGACATTCCAGGGTGCAGACACTCTCCACCCTTTCCCTCACTGATAGGGTTCTGCCTCAGGAGGAAAGTAGGGATGGCGTTGTGTGCTTAAATCTCCCTCGCCCTAACTCTAAGCCCTTGCTCTCCCTCCAACACCAAGTTAGCCGGAGCAAGAAACTCTTGAAACGCCACGTCGATTTGTAATAACTGAAGGACCCCACCCCCATGGGGAGCTTCCCCCAAAGTGGATCTCCCCGAAGTACACCTAGAAAGTGAAGGTGGGGAAGCGCAGAGAATGGAGATTCGCTAGGAAGGAAGCATTTGGTAGTGGGAGAGCTGGGAGGCAAGGAGAAAGATTTCCTGATTGCAATGATTCGAGAAGGATCAAGAGCTGTGTTCAGCTCAGGGTTACACATTAAGAACCCTGATTTCAGCTCGTGAAAAGCAGATGATATTCGTCACTAGCTACCTTTATGTCCAGCACTTCACTGGACCGGACGGAACCGGTTCTCCATCACTTCCCAAGCCGTATTATCACCCCCTACTCGAAATCTCCTTGCAATAATTCCGGGGGTGGTGACGCTTTGGGGGGAAATAGAGCTGTGCATACTCTCCCTGAATTTCCACTCCTACAGCTTCTGAGATCTGACAGGCCCCAATGGAATAGGTAATAAAGCTGAGATACGCTGGGCAACTACAACCGCAGCTTAGATTAGGGAGGATTCTCAGAATTAGGCGTCGCTTCCCAGAGTGGAAGGGAGCAGCAGGCAAAACCCGGTCCCTGCTGAGAATTTCTGAGGCCTTCGTTTTTTTCAGTGTGCGCTAGGGTGCTCCTAGGAGCCGGGAAAGAACCGAGGAGTGACTTGTGCGGCGAAAAGTGTGGTGTGTTTCTGTAGGGCCTCCATTTGCCCAAGCGTAGAGTATAGCCAAAGGCGATCTTCCTTTCTCTATTCTCTTTCCTTCTCTAAGCAGACGTGGTAGAGGGAATGCGTATATTTAGGGAGGGAGAGGTGGTGGCAATTCAGGAGCGAAGACTGTAGAAGGATATCTTAAGGGATGAACCTGTTTTCTCCCAGAGATTTTGGAGAACCTAGTACACAGCCTCTGTTTTTCCTGGCTATTATAACCTTTGGTATGTTTCAGCACACAGACACAGACACACAGACACACACACACACACACACACACACACACACACACACACACACACCTCTTCAGCCCTGGAATTTACAGGAAAGAGAACTAGACCCAGCCTAGCAAAGGCACCTGGACGAAATCTGCTCAAAATTAGGAGGATTGCCTAGGCAAATGAAAGCGTGTCAGGCAGTGGCAGTCCTCAGTTGTCAGCTTCCTCCTCATCTCAAATCCCTGTCCCAATAATTCTCCTACGGAAGCTCTGAGGAGTCTATAAAGCCCTCTTGTATTTGCAGTCGGTACTGAGCTCCCCAGAAAAACGGGTTCACGTGAAGGATATTACCAAGGTTCCATCTGAGCACTCACCGGGTGAATGCTCCCATGAAAGCAGCAGTAGGGGCAATGCCATCAGCAAGTGGCCTGCCAATCAGAGCTTACCGCGGCCACTCCATGTGCAGTGAGAACTGTACTGAGAGCCAGTTTTAAAGCT